CCACTCAACACTTTCACTCGAAATGGAAGTAAACTCAATAATTATGAAACAAGAGATTTTTCGAAACCCAACTTTTCTTCGCATCTAGTGGTTAAGGTTTCCAGATGATACGCAGCACTGTCATGGTTCGAGCCCAGCTAGGGGTGTTGATAAGATCTAGACGAGATCAAAAATGCAGTTCATCTTGGGTGAGAAAAACTTTTGGGAAATCAAGGTTGTATGAAATTCAATAGAAACGTCATATCTACACATATAATTGTGGGAAAATTTAACTTCCAGTCGCCTTATCCTCCTAAACAAAATAGGATGAATACATCTTATATATATGACTTACTGGTAGCCTATAAATCTTATTTATAAACAAAAAACTGAATCTTGTTTTCTGCAGGATTTCACACTACCATAATTTGCAAAGGGCTGAATTAATCAGTTATGAGGATTGGAGGTAAGATATCTGCCTCTCAATCCACATACCCACTGTTCGAATCCTGCTGGAGCTGTTGTGGGACTATAAGGTAGGGTCAAAATCATCAATGCCAGTTTGAAGTATTTCTGGTTAAACAAGGTGAAGGAAAGATGCTATGATTTACTTTCAATCAATGAAATGGGGAAAAAGCTTCAAGGTGCCGCTGCATTTCTTTTGTTCTTGCCTAACAAAAGGCTTTCTCATTAAAATTATACTGAGGTTTCAATATCATTTGTGTCTTGGCATTAGCATAAAGTGATTCAAAATATACTTGTGCCAATGCGTAACAAGCCATACGTGACTTTCAAACTAAGACAGTCATCTACATAGTCATATTTTTAAAGTTTATACTACTTTCAGTAAGGCAACTTTAGACGGCATCATTGTATGCCGATTGAAGGGTCTGGAAATATTGGTGGATTTCGACGGAGAACTCCAAAAACGCTAGTTCATTTAAAGTGATGTAGGGACAAATAATGGAATTTCCCAACTTTAAATTTGCAGAGCTTTGTCAGCAGTATAAACATTAGTAAAGGTCTACCTTGTAACCAAATGACAACCACAGTTGTAGCGGAGTGGTAAAGTTTCCGCTTGGCGCAAACGATCCAGTATATAATCAATTTTGGGATGCAGATAAGAATCAGGCGAGGTAGAAAACCAAATTAATATTGGATAAGCAAAAATTCTGGGTAACAAACTTATGCGAAATGGAATTTTATATTAAGGCTCTCCACTATTTTGCTTTTATTTTGATAAACTATTATTCCACTTAACAACTCATGCCAAAATCAAGCATTCGCTTCAATTAATCGGAAGGTCTCTCGTCCTTCCCAATATAAATGGGAATCTCCAAATAATTATCTATTTATCTACCCACTTACCTACATAACAAACTCAATACTTCCTATCTTCTGATCTAACCACGTCCTTCATACTAAATGTGCCACTAATCCAATCACTACCTACTTACCAGCATACTTTTGAAAGCTCAATTTTTTTCTTTTTGCCTGAAATATTTATCTCAATTGTCTGGAAATGCTGAATTCTTGACATCGAAATATTTTACGCGATTGTATACTGAATGTACTTCTACTATAACTTAGCTCATCATTTGCTGTTCCGATTATTTGCTATCATTTTTTATTAAGTTAACCTGTATTCCACAAGATCCAATAAACGATGGTAATCGAGCAGCCAGGTGGCCTGTTTCGTGTGATCAAGGCCTGGATAATACTGGATTTTCAATTATAGCCGAATTCAATATTTGATAATAGTTAATTTATTGAAAATGGCGTTTAGGTGTCTAAAATGTATGAATTTCAATACTTTCGATCCTGTTTATGTTTCCACCTCCCCCCGGCTTATGTTGCTGTCCCTTATTTCCTGATTATCATTTTTAAATATCCGCATTTATCCTGGTCCTGGCTATTTATTGTCCAACTGTTTCTGACCTGCTTGCCTTGGTCTATACCCGTTGTCTTGCCGATTAGCTTTATTCTCACTTACGTTCTGTCTGTCTAGCTATCTAATTTCCCTTTCATCCTTCTCTTTCTCACTCTTCATCTGTCTCCCTCCAATACCATGTGTCTTTACAAGGCCAGTTGCATTTCGCTTCACGATTGTGCCTAAACAACCTTTTTTAAACCACTTATGATTGAGGCCAACAATCGTGCGCCACGCCAGACAGGTACACACATAAATATATACACACACACACATACTTTGTATGCGTGCACATGTATACTCGTATCCGTAAAATAGTTACTGGCCTCCCAATAGCAGAAGATTTGCGTATACGTAGGTTGACGCGGCTGAGGGTAGAAAATTGTCTGGTAGGATAGAGTCATTAAAAGAGAGATTGCTGGAAGGAAAGAGTGAGGAATCTGAAAAGGGCTGTGGGCAAGACCTGGATGAACAGAAGTCTGGACTAACCCAAAGACATGAACGCGGATAGTTCGTACATAACAGATGCAGACACACACTGAGACTAGAACGCAAGCACAAAAAGCAGAAAATAAGTGTGCGCACCAACTTGTTTAATTATGTATGTTCTGAATGATTTGCGTATGTTTGTTTTCGCTGTTGGTCTATAGAGGTAGAGTCAAGCGAGGATCAGAGGAAGACGCGGGGAGTGGGCGAATGTTTACCTCCCTTTGAGGAGTGTTTATGTCTCTATCTCTTCTTCCGCGTAATTCAATCTCTTGTGCTCAGCCACTGGTATGCTCTGACGGATATACTCCTGATATCCAGAAGTGTTGATAATTTTGTTTTCGGTCCACGCCTTGAGACGACCATCAGACTAGGCAGCATCGGCGATCAAGACAAGACTGTACTAATGCGTCTGTTATCCTTTAGGGTCACATCAGTCAGTTTGCGGTCTCTGTTACTGTGGCTAAGTTGTTGATGCCCTTTATTTGTTCCTTTCTTTCTGGGGTTTTCCGATGCCAAACTCGTCTCCCCAGCCGCAGGGCGCAGGACAAGCACGAAAAAGTACTGCGCCCAGTTCCGAGGTCTCCATTCAACCAAGACGGTAGACAAGGCTTCGGTTCTTCTATCTTCCTGACCCCTTGCGCCTGCGAACTCTACCGACCGGAGTTAACAAAACCAACTATACATCCGCCATTGTTAGCATCTCGTTTCGCCTGTATGCGGAGGATGTGTAATGTGAAATTCTGCTAATTTAAGATCCATTTAAAGCTCTTCTCATTTTCGCTACCCCACAGCCCCTTCATTCGTCTTTTACAATCCATTTATTATCTGCCTCATCGCGGACAACCCAGCGCGTGGATAACTTTGAGGCTGGAAGTGTATGAATCCTGGTCTAAATCCCCACGTCACTGTGGGTTTGTGTGCTCGTCTGCCTGTGCATATGCGCTCATGTCGACCTATTATTGCCTTCGTCTTTCCTCAGGCTGTACAGCATACCACTTTTCATCCGGATTATTATGAACCACTAACACAATCCGAGTAATACCCAGCAACCTCGAGTCTTGCATCTACGTCCGATCGAATTGCGTAAGAAGGTATTTGCACCCACGACCAAGAGATGGCAACAGAAGCGATCGAAACCCGGTCCCCTTTTCCTACATTGAAGGTAAGAGGCAGTGATGAAACCGCACCCGAAGTGGTCTGTTTTCCTACCTCTCAGGCGGCTTCGGTTTTGGCCACGGGGATCGGCGGCAGTATCAGCCCGAGCGGCGGCGTTTCCAGCTCCAACAGCAGTCCGACTGAGCGAAAGCAGACGATCAGGAATTTCTTGACGACCCCTCCAGAGGCGTCAGCAAAGCGGCACCTCCTGGATCCCGCTGAGGTTGCCTTCGAAGCCAACACATTCCGCCAGCCTTACCAATCACTACAAGGCATGAACTCGAATTCTGTCCTTTATTGCGACTCAAATGCCACTGTCTCCACAAATGAGCGATACCAAAACCGGTCATCATCGCAGGAGCTTGGATGGGAAGCCGCCTGTTTGCCAGGCCTGAACCGAATGTGCTCGAGTCCTCCTGAAGAAAAGGAGTCCAGACCAGCCGAGTCAGAACACGAAAGTGGAAGCCAGATTCAAGAGGAGGAAGATGACGGGATACTTGTGGTGGTGAAGAGAAATGGTGAAACGAAGGAGGAATTTGAGCCTCACTCGGTCAATGTGCAATGCTTGAAACCACCTCGATCAGACTCCCAGAATGCCCAACCCACCACTTTCCCTTCCAGCTCATGCGAGGTACCAAGAACACAGACTTCTGACGAGCTTTCGTCCTGGCAATCGTTCACTCGGACACCAATCAGCATGAAACCTCATCCGGTTGAACCGAATGAACTAGACTTTCCAACCTTTGGAGCTACAGCCGCTTCGGGATGCGCTTCACCAACTGCCTCATCGACTGGACAACGAGTCGCTCTGGCCAGTTTGCTAACACCCGACTGTCCCACTGTCCATCTCCTTGGCGATCAGGACTCAAGGCCCCCTGAACCGCTGTCGTCAGGCTCACGTCTACTTTGTCGCACCTCCACCACGACGAAGGCATCACATGGCATTCGTGACATCCTTGGAGAGTCGCACGATTCCACTAGCACCGAAGGACTTGGTCGTGGTTATCGCCGCCACCGACGAGGCAGTAGAACCGGCAGCAACGATGCTGAACAAGAAAAAAGCCCAGTGGACGAATGCGAGAAATCGCAATTGGAATGTGACAACTTTGAGGCCGGCGAAGAGAAGCATGCCTTAGCCTCTTCTTCCTCTTCCTCTTCTTCCTCCTGCTCCTCCTCCTCCTACGCCTCCTCATCGGCCGTTGCCTTGGCGGGGCATCCTGCCAGTCAGCAAAGCAATAATTCTCCTAACTCCGAGGCCCCAATCGGTCAGATGGTCTCCCCATTTCCCAAGAGACCGAATCCCCTAGACCCAGTCGCCTCCACGAGCCTAGCTTCTGGGCTTTTTGCTCAAGCCAACCTTCCAAACAGCCTTTTTGCTGGTCTTCCAGGCTTCCAAGGCATTCCAGTCCTTCCAGGCATCACGGGCCTCCAGAGCCTCCAGACGCCCCAAGCCGCCATGATTACGGCCGCTCATTTGGCCGCCGCTGCTGCAATGTTATCGCGTCTTCGAGGCCATTGTCTTGCTCCGCTAGGCGAAGACGCTAACTCTCCTCCTCCCCATCCTCCTCCTCTTCCTCCACCTCCACCTCCACCACCTCCACCCCCTCTCCCTCCTCGTTCTGGGACGGAAATGGCGTCTGAATCACAGCAACCCTCGCAAGTTGATACCGGCCCAGAGGTCAGTGAACCTGACGAGGCAACTATGACCGAGGCTGGAAGCTTACTGTCACCCTCGGCATTTTGGTCAGGCCTCCTCAATTCTCGTAGTCTCTTCATGGGCGCCCTAACGACGTCCAGGCCTACTTGCTCCGCGCTTTCTGGACCACGAGTCACTGTGGGCCTTGACTCAAGCGATCGGCATCTGCAGAGTCCCGGAGGTGGCCTGTCAAGTGAAGGACTGAGGGTCGTCAGTCCTGGCAGTCTGGCAGACGTCGTTCTTGCGTCCAGACCTTATCCAGACCTATCGCCGGTATCACCTTCGAGTGGCGGGCCAAGAGATCTGACCTCTGCCGCAATGACGAGCATTGCATCACTCGACGATCTAATGTCTCACTCGGGAGCGGCCAGACTCTTTTCGACCGGTTTTTTCACCGGATCCAACCAAGACGTCTCCATGGCCCCGCCTGAGACATACGAGGAGGCTGGTGAGTTGGCGACTCGACCGATCTGGCCGTCCGGGCATCTGCTGCCTCCGGGACTCGCCGGCCTCGCCACCAGCAACTCCGTCACTGGCAACACGCAGTCCCTCCTCATGACGGGTGTAGCACAGTCGGCCGTCTCTTTGCCGTCACACTCAGCAGCTTCAGCTGCAGCGGCTGCCGTCGCGGCTGGGGCGAGTCAAAACGCTCTTCTCCCATTGTCGCATGGTCAGATCAGTCTGCCGGCGGGACTCGTGTCGAGTGAGGCTGCAGCCGCCTGTTTGTTGTCACAGACAGCCGTCTCGTCTAATCTAATGTCGCCCAGTTCCATTGGTATGCAGCCACAGCGAATTGGGGCAGTCGCTTCTCTCAGCCAGTCTCCGCTACTCGGACTTCGTCTCTGCAGTGGAGGTAGGATTTGTTTTGTTGTTTCGTTTGAAGAGGTAAACATCATGCATTCCCAAGTTGGCCTCACCGGATGCTGTAGAGAGAATGTCTTGGAGCTGCGACCGTAGGTTTGTTCGAATGGATCCTCGGCGCACCGCCCTACGACCCCGATGAATCCTTGCTGAGCTTTCGTCTGTCATGTGGCGGAACTCGTCAGAGCGGAGCACCAGGCTTAACGATAATTGTAATGAGATGTATTCACCCTATTTCGTGTAAGGTGATGAAGGACTGGTAGTAGAATTTTCCCA